ACACCCAGTGTGGAGCCCAGCACGGGGCCTGAACTCATGACCCTGAGATCGAGACCTGAACTGAGATCAGGAGTTGGACCCTTAACCAATTAAGCCACCCAGGTATCCCAAAACTGATATACATTCAGTAGAAACCGTAGTTTGAATTTTGAATTTGGATCTTTTCCTGGGCTGGCGATATACAGCACGATAGTCTTTTGATGCTTGGCAGTGGCAGTGAGCCCCAGCTCCTGGTCAGCCACATGATCACAAGGGTGAACAACTGATATATTTAAACTATTCTGCACCCACACAATCATTCTGTTTTTCACTTTCAGTACAGCAGTTAATAAATTACATGAGATATTCAACACTTTTTATAAAATAGGCGTTGTGTTAGATGATTTTGCCCAACTGAGGCTAATATAAGTGTTCTGAGCACATTTAAGGTAGGCTAGGCTAAGCTGTGCTGTTTAGCATTTTCAACTTACAATATTTTCGACTTACATTGGGTTTATCCAGATGTTAACCCCATTGTAAGTCGAGGAATGTCTGTAGAGTATGTTAAGGGCCATCAGAAGCTTCAACAGGGGCACCTGGGTGGCTCAGTTGATTAAGCGAATGACTCATAATTTTGGTTCTGGTCATGATTTCAGGATCATGAGATCAAGTCCCACATTAGACTCCATGCTCAGTGCAGAGTCTGCTTGAGATTTCCTCTGCCCTTCCCCCCTACTCATGCTCTTTCACGCACGCGCACTCTCTCTCTTTTAAAATAAGCCATCCCACCCTGAGCGTGCCGATCTCGTCTAAAATCTTTTTTTTAAAAAAGAATTCTTACAATTCAATCCTAAGGGGAAAAAAACACAATTAAAAAAGAAGTTCAACAGGGCTGCCATGATGAGTCTATCTGAAGCTTCTGTTGTGAAGGTACTATTGAAATAAAAGGAAAAGCAAATTGATTCTTCAGAATTTGATGTGTAGCCTTTGGAGTTATTTTTGTTGCTTTGGGAGTTTTGGTAACTAGTTCTTCGTTTAAATCAGTTTTCACTCTATCCAGTTGGCATTGATAATTAAGTTTGTAATTCTAGGGCAAAACATTTTTTTCAGAGTGAAATCTAATTTTTTTTTATAGTGAAGTTTATTGAGTGATAGTACAAAGCTCCCAAAGAGGGAGGGGACCTGAGAGCGTTGTCCTGAAATCTAATTTTAGAATTATGAGAGGAACTTGTAGTGTTTTGACTGATTCTTATTATACTTTTCTTAGCCACACACACCCTCAGTTCCTAAATTTTGGCTAATACTTTTTGGTCAATTACTCATAATTTGAAGATACAGGCAGGATAATTCTGTTTCATTTAATCTTTGCTTTCTTCTTCTGGCATTTAGCAAGCATATATGAGAGCAAGATATTTGCCAGTTTTATTCACTGTAGTATTCACAGAGCCTCAAAGATGGCACTCAATAATAGATATATGTTGAACAATACATGAATGCAGTTCTTATCTGTTTTGTTGATACTTTGATCTTGTGTATTCAGCAAAATTTGTGATGCATTTTTATAACTCTTGCCTGTCTTGTACTGTTACCTTTATATGTATCAATGCTGAATACACAGTTCTGTTGTAGGGTTCTTCAGAAGAGGGACTGTGTCTTGCACTTTGTAAATATCCCTTCAACACCTGAGAGAGTGCCTTGAACAAAGTAGTTGTTCTAGGAATAAATGACTACTTGTGGGTAATTAACGGATAATGGATCAGAAGTATGGTTTGATCAGTTGGAGACCTAATGATCTGATTTGACGTGACAGATTCAGTATTTCCTTTCTCAAATTTTTTTAAACATCTCCAATAACTGCAGGGTGGGGTGGGAGGGAGAGTTTGCAGTGAAGGAATCTAAAGCTTTTGGCGCTCTTTTGGAAGCAATCCAGGGAGGGACATACATCTGTCTTACTCTTATTCCAGATGAATCGGACAAAGGGTGATGAGGAGGAATATTGGAACAGCTCCAAGTTCAAGGCTTTCACCTTTGATGATGAAGATGATGAGCTCTCACAGGTAGGTCTTCATGAACAATTGCTGCAGGTCACACCTCCTCCACATTGCCATTCTAAAATTTCTTCCTCTCACATCCTTGGTAACCTGTACAGTACAGTACATCTCACTCTCTCTCCATTAGGCTCAGAAATGTTTTGGGTTAGATCTTTAGAAAAATCTTCATAGAGAAGAGCCCTCAAAAAAGAGCTAGAAGGATTGTAAAAACAAATTCTCTGCCCTTCTTACTTTTATTCTTAAGGTGATTTCAGTTTCTTTTTTTTCCCTCAGAATCCCAAGTCTTTTATCATGTGATGTAATTTGTTATTTTTGAATGATGAACTGGATTGGATGTTGTCTTTTTGCATCTGTTTTACAAATGGGGAAATGGATTTATTTTTGGAGAGATGGATAAACTCACCCAGGTTTACACAGCAAGTCATTGCCAGGTATATGATTAGAACTTAAAAGCAGCTTTAATTTCTTCTAACTCTTGCCACTGGACTTCAGTGTTGGCTAAAAAGCAATTTGTTCTCTTGGCAAATATCTAGCAGGCTAGGCTTTCTATTGCAGAGAGTGAAAGTTTTGGCCATGTTAAGTCCCAATTGCTCAACCTTCTTGGTTGTCAAAGAGAGAGGTGGAAGTAGTGATTACCTGAGTGCCCTGCCTTATGTCCCTCTGCAGTTAAAGGAATCCAAGAGAGCAGTGAATAGTCTTCGCGACTTCGTGGATGATGAGGATGACGATGACCTGGAGAGAGTCAGCTGGAGTGGGGAACCTGTGGGAAGTAAGTAGAGGAGGCTATAGGAAGGGATTGATATTCAGGGTTCTTGTCACTAATGAAGGCTCCGCTTGCTCGTCTCCTCAGTGCTTGTTAGGAAGGGGAATGAAGGTAGACTATTTTTAGATGAGCATACATTTGGAAATTTAACCCCAGAAGAAACTTGAGGAAATAACAGCGGTGGTTCCCATATGGCTCTCTAGGGCTGCCATCCTGGGGCTAATGCTTGGCTGGCTATTTCAGACTCCTTTGGGGTGCTTGTTAAAGTTAGGTTCCTAGGCTTTACTCCAGAAACTGATTCAGTAGGTCTCAGGGGTGGGGGTGGGGAGTCTTAATTTATAATGGGTACTGCAGGTGCTTCTAATATTCAGTCATATTTGGAACTGCTGGCTTAATTGCTCATAACTGGCTGGCAGGACTGACTTCCTTAGCCACCAGGCCTCACTGTCTAGCTGTTTTATAATACCACTTAACACCTTTGCCCAGTCCATCTGATTTTTAAGAATATTTAAAAATTTTTTCTTAATATAGGAAATACCATCAGGATTTGAAAATCAAGTATTTTAGGCATACAATGTAAAGTTTCCCTCCCACACTATCATGCATCTACTATTCTCAGTTCCTTCTGTCCCAAGACACTGCTGTTGTTTGCTTCTTGTGTGTTCAACTAAAGATTCTTTCTACATTTGGAAATGCATATAGGAATATATATTCTTATTCCCTTTTTTATACCAGTGGTAGCATACTTTATATACCCTATTCTTTTCACTTGGCAATATAGCTTGGAGATCTTTCTATATCAGTACATAAAGAAGTTTCTCACTCTCTCTGAAAACAGCAGCATAGGATTACACTGTATGGATTTTCCATAACTTATTTAACCCGTCCACTTTTTTTTTTTTT